TTGAGCCAAGTTATTGGTTTCCTAGCTTGTTTCCCGGTCGCAATGCACAAATCGCTGCTGCATAGTTACTTGTAAATAAATTTATATAAAACTATTTAACAATCTACTATAAAATATAATTGCATATACATGCTACAATAACTTTCCCAAGCCGTCTCCTGCAGCACTGTTCCTTAACATCTCGTTTTCGGCCTGCAGCTCACACTTTTCCTTGTGCAGACTTTCGAATGCGCCTTCGAACTTCTTTGTAAGATCCTGTAACAGCTCCTTGTAATGCGCTTTTAATTCCTTATATGAATTCAGATAGGTCTCCATTTTTGACTCGTAATCCTTTTTGCTGTGCGAAAAAATTAAATTAATTTGAAATGAAAGTCCTGAAAGTGTACTTATAGTATGCGCACTGTTGTAAGTGATGCGTTTCATCATTAAAGGCAGACTGCTCCAGTTCTATTAGACGCTTGTTGCAAGACTCTACTTGCTTCTCAAGTTTTGCGTTCTGATTGAGAGCTTCTTTATATTTGAGGGTAATACGTTCGTTCCGAGATTCGAGGGCTAGCGTTGCCTTCTTGTGTTCCATGGCTTCAAATTTAAGCTGCAATGACAAATTGTACAAGATTTATGAATTTTATAAAAAATCTGCCTGACCTTTTCACGCAGCGATGTTATAGTTTTGTCCTTCTCTGCCAATTTAGTCCTAAGCTGAGCGACTTCACTGTCCACACGGTTAGCCGCCTCATCCATGATGCTGCCGATGTTAAATGCCAGATGGCTGGCTTCCTCCTTGTACGATTCAGCAAGCTTTTCAGCCTCCTCCTTTTCACGAACAGCTGCTTCGCTAACACTGAGCGCATCATGTATCTTGCGCATTGCCTCTACCTCACGCTTCTTACTCTCATCAAGCAACGTTCGAGTTTTCATCAAGGATTTCTCAAAGTCCTTCAGTTGTTTATGTAAACTGGCTATCTTAACGTGATCTTCTTCTCGAGTGGCTGCATCATGCTGGCGATCCTTTAGCTGAGATCGCAACTGATCGATTTGCTCACCACAGCGCTGCTTATGCTCATGCAGAGCTTTGATGAGATTCGCCTGTGTACGAATTTCCTCTTGCTGCTCACTCAAACGGGCTTCAAGCATTTTAACAGCTTTATTATACTTTTGCGCCATCTAAACTTACAATTTGGTATGACAAACGCTAAAAGCAAAGCATTCTGACCCTGGAACAATACTCACCTGATCATTGCCTCCTTGTGGCAGCAGGGCACGATAATTGTTTAATTCGACCTCCATGCTCCTAATGGTGCGCTGTGAGCACTCCTGCAATGTCTGCAGACTACGTTGCTCCTTTTTTAGTGCCTCAATTTGTGCCATGGCTTTGACCAACGCATCGTTAGCAAAATGCAGTCTTTCCTGTATATTCTCACTGCTTTTGGAACACATTACTTTTTTAAATTTCCCCAGTTCGCCGGTCAAGTGACGATTCTCACTTAATACAGCGCTTATTAGCGTTCGCAGGTCGGATTGCTCCACGCGAAAATTTTTCAAGTCCTCGTTGGTTTCCTTTATCAGTCGCTCCACGCACAATGCCACCTCGCCGGCACCGCTGTTTGAAACGAGTGAAAATAAATTTGTTTGAGCCGGAATGTATTTGTGTGCTTATTATTTATCATACCTCGGGAACTCATAGGTTATAGCCTCCTGCGACATTTTAAATTAAAAAAAAAAAAAATACGTTTTACACGCTAAAAACTTAGAATTTCAGGGGTACTCCATTCAAGCAGCACAACTATTTTAGTTAATTTCTCGGTGCAGCTGGCAGACTTTTTCTACTGTCACTGTTTGACAGCTCAATGACCTGGCAAGCAGCAGGGAGCAGGGAGTACTCATATTTTGTACACACAGTTCGACTGGTTCGGTTGTGACCCAACCAAGTTGCCGTGGCAACGGCTTGTGGCAAAGCACAAACATTGAATTGGTCAAGCTTGTGGACAGTTTGCAGTTAATCTTGGAGATGCCGTTGTTCAACAAGAAATTCGAGTCGAAGCCCATTCCAGCTCGTGTGAATCGTTGTAATATTGGTTTTCCAGTTGTTAACGAGGAAATTGAAGATTTTCGAAATATCTCCTTGAGTTTGGGCAACAAAGAGCTGCGCTTTGCTGACGGCATTTGGATGCATTCGGCTCGCAAAGGGGATGTTGATGATATGCTGCGTTTGAACAAGAAATTTCGTGCCCTAGAGGAGGAGAATAATATGTGCAATTTGAAGATTGAAGTAATGCTGGATTTGCTAGCTGAGCATGCCACGGAGCTGAACGAGCTGAAGCCAAAGGACAAGTGTAAGTGTAAGAGTCTCATATATATATGAAGAGCCTAATAATATATTGAATTTTTCTTATAGAGCTAAACTTAAAATTGCCCGCGTGTCTACATTGAAGTCCAATAAAGAGTGGGTTTTTTATACAAACACAAACTGTGATATTTAAATTCCGATAAGATAGTTCAAAGAACTCTCAATCCTAAGTTTAAGGTTTCGATTGGATTATTTGGATACTCAATTGGATCGTTGGTGTTTCTTTGATACCCCATTTATTTAATCAGGCAGCTAAAGGTCTATCACATAACGCTCGTTGAAACTTATCAATTGGTAAAGTATTATGCAGAGCTCTAACAGCACGGTATAGTGCAGCGCCTTGGCCGGCGGGCTGGCTTTGTTGACTAGCCCATTGGGAATTAATTTGGATTTGTTAGGCTAACGTACGATGAATGGACGGGGCTGGTCAAATTGTTCGCAGTATTGTCGCCATTGACAGCAATCTATAGACGCCATCGGGCTGCCGCTTGGCTCCCGCTATTTATTACGGCATTGATAAGCAAGGTAGGGCCAGTATACCGATAACTGGCGGCATTGATAGCAAGTAGAACCCACTGTGGCAGCCAATATAAACAAATGACGAGGCTGCCGACCATACAATGCTTACAGGGCTCTCTTACTTTATCTAACTCCATCTTCCTCTCCCCCTCCCTGTACATCTAGCTCGGTTCGGTTCACCAATATTGAATTACATTTTTGGTCGAGCCAAGCGATAAAGCTTAGTGCTGCATGCACCGCAGACAAAGTCTAATAGTCGTGTGTGGCCGCCTCCCTGTACATAGTCGTCTATGTACATAGCTGTGGCGATATCGGGACACTATATCGACTACTGTATATTTACGCATTTATATTGATATGCGATAAGCGAATCTGCTTATAAAACACATTTATTTAGTTGTTCCCAGCTATGGCGAGCACCTCGCTGCCGAGGGGTAACACTTGTTCGATTCGTGTATTACAGTAGTTTGTTGATAGCCAGCCGATCGTACGGACGCACACAATGCGGTCCCAGAGATCGATGTGCCTACAAAACCATACGAGTACTATTTACCCAGTGAAAAACAACAGCAATAACAATTGCTAGGAGAGGAAAAATATATTAAAAAAAAAAACGAAAACTATTCAATAATAACAATGAAAAAACACATGTACAATAAAATGTTTGCACGCTTTGGGTTCGGATGCGCCTCATGCGAATATGGCAATGTTTTAGCTTTGGGGTCCAATTGACTTCGTGATTAGGTAACAAAATGCGCCTATATCAGCACAAAGTGTCTGCTGCCGGTTTGGCGCATTCATCGAAAAATTAAAAATAAATAAAAACAAAAAAAAAAAAAAAAAACGGGTCGATATCAGCAAGTTTCAGTTCGACGTGCTCCATGAAGTGATTAAGAACTAAGTAACCAAACAGTCGATCGTCAAAGTCCGTCATGGTCGTGTGTCCATTGTTTCTGGGCGCCTGTAACTGCGCGTAGTTTTGATTTTCTTCAAAAACGTTGCTTGCCATAAACAAATTGTCTATCAAGCAATAGATATTTTGTTGTATGAAACGAGCGCTACCTAATAAATGATACCATATAAATCAATTGAGTGAACGCCAATCAAATGGGGGCAACTGTGATAAATCTACCAAACAAATGGATCATGCGGAGAGTAGCTACATATATAAACAGACAGTCAGTCGGTTAGTCGGTTCGTTAAGACAAATGTGTTTTATTGGCATTTGGTGCATCGAATCGATCCACATACAAATAAGTGCTAAAACGTGCTTCTTCTGGGAGCCATACATATGTTGAAATGATATGAAATCCACTTCGCGTAGCTCGGAAAAATCTTTATTAAATTTTCCATTTTACTTACTAATTAAAAACGCACTTAAAGCATTTCGATTGAAATTTGATTTGATAATATGCATAAATAATTAACTTTTGAAATGGTATTGGTTAAACTATATCGCTTCGCTTACTTTAGAGAACTCATTTCATTATATATATATATATATCTATGTATATTTAATTGATATTCTGACGTATACTCTGGATATGTTGTGCTTTCATTTTTCGAATGGGGTAAATATAAAATTTCGTTCGATTCGAGTGTCTTCTATCAGCCCACGCCTTTAGTGGGTAGCGATTTGATAAATGGGCATTATCGCTTTTATGATTTATTGTTGTGTATAAATGGGGTCTGTCGCTATTTAATAATCATCAAAAAAAAAAAAAAAGAAACACACACACAATGCCATAATTTATATGTAAGCCAAGGATTTGAATGTATGTAACACTTAAGTGTGTGTGCGAGTGTGGGTGTTTTCTTTTTTTTTTTTCACTATTTGTATGTGGATCACCCGCTTTAAATGGCCAAGTAAATAAACAAAAGAAAATTGTACACTCAGCGGCCGCCAGCGCCCAATAAAATGTGTGAAAAATGTGTGCGAGCGGCGGTGAAAAATGCAACGTCTAAATAAATAAATAAGAACCTGAACAGCATCGAATCGAGCACAAACTGTTTACTATAAAACTAAAAACAAATCGATCATTTCGTGTTAATGGCAAAACTTAATATTTAAAGCATTGTTCAAATTTCCTAATATATATGAGAACTTGTAAAATTCATTTTTAGACACAACTAAATCAATTGTGCAATTTTCGATGAAACTTTATTGGAATCTAAAAGTTCGATATAGATAAAAGTATATTATGAGAACTAAAAAGTGAAAAACAATGTAAAGACTTTATATGATAATGTTGACAATAATTGTTATGAAACAGCTGCGGCTACTTCGTTTGGCAGCCATTTGGTTCTTAATTGGCATCTGTGGATTGCCCACGACGATTGGGTACTTTATTGATTATACAGGTGGGTGTAAAACCTTAAGGCTATAAATTGAAATTTCACCTATAAACGCTCTTTTTATCGGTTAACTGTAAGATACTCGACAAATGGAATGGAAAAAAAAAGCCATGCATTTCTTTGGCAATTATTTAAACGAGGCTAGTTTATCATTTTGTTTTTTTTTTTTTTTTAGCAATGCTGTTAGATAAGATATTTGCTGAATAAGTAACAAATAAATTGATGGTTGCCTTCTTTTTTTTAACTGATGTTTCGTATGATTGCATTTTTGACAGAGAACACGGAGCTGATACAACAGCGTGCCGGCTACGACGTTAGGCTGCAGTGCAACCTTACGGGTCTGGTGGATGAGCGCAGGCTGCCGGATATTAGAATACACTGGTACTTCAAGGTGAGCATGCTATAGTCTATTTGTCTGAAAGTTTGATAGATTTTCTTTTTTTTTTATTAGCAATGCAGCGACAATAATTGTTACCAGCTGGAATCTGGCGATGACTGGACTGCACTGCCCTGCGACTCCACACTCTGCCGCCCAGAGCTCTGGCTGCGCAATGTGACCGAGCGTTACTCTGGCCTGTACAAGTGCAGCATTAATCCTCAAGTATGGGATGTGCAACTTATTCGCACCTATCAGCTGGAAGTGAAGAGTAAGTGTTGTGCAGAGCATTGTCAAGAATCAGCTTATTTCTGCTGCGCCTTTTAGATAGCTCGCTAGCCGCACCGGAGTTTCTAGATGCGTATCCGAGCAATAAAACCGCCATTCAGGACACTCGAGTGGTGTTCCAGTGTCGCGTTCACAGCGAAGAGCACTTAACTATTAAATGGTTTAGACGACACGGATATGCTGCATATATGCCGGCGCCAGAGACGCCTCAGCCCCCAGCTGGCACTTCAAATTTCAGTACTCACATTGTGCGCTACAATGGACGTACCTACGAGCTGCTGCCTACTTCTCCGGAAAAGCTAATCAGTCCACAGATCTATCTCAGCAAGCTTATATTAAACAGCGTGCGGCTAAGGGATGCCGGCTACTATGCTTGTGTGGCAATAAGCTATCGGGGCCATAAAATACGAGAAGCCTATCTAGAAGTATTGCCACCCGATGAGAATATGGAATACTGGGTGGACTACAGTAACAACGATGAGGTTGTCACTGAAGATACCAGCGATCCTCGCGAATTTCTCTTGTTGTTTCTCATGCCACTTGGCTTAGCGCTGCTGCCGCTGAGCGTTTGGGGTGGATACATGCTCTATAAGCGCTGCACCCGGCATAGCGAGTGTGAGCGCATCGAACAGCAATACTCGGATGAGGAGCTGGACACAGAACGCTATGTGCTCGGCGGCAGTTGACAATGTTGGCTATTTTCACATTGCGCATGCGCTTACAAGGTGGGAAGGTGTGGGAACAAAGACTGTGCTTAAACTTAAGTTATAATGTGTACAAAACAATTACAAATAAGTTTGAAAATTATTTGGCGAATAAGTTTTTACTATTTCTCTTGCCATTCGGTGGATTGTGTTTGAAACGAACAGAACGTATAGTTCCTAGCAACACATTGTTTTGTCAAAATTAACTAATTTTCATGAAATTCAAAATTATTGTTCGCCTTCCAGTTCCGGCAGAACGTTTCTCATATAGCCAGCGAGCAGTCAAGCCCATTGAGCGACTTTTAAGCTGATTTGTGTATTACCGTTGGCCTCTGATGATCTTTGAAATATATCTGCAGTTTTATCTGTTGCGGCATTGCGAGGTGCGTATCTACTTTTTGCGGCTGTGCCTTAGCGTTGTGAACCAGGGCGCACCTATAGAAGGTGGTGCTATCCAGGAACAATTTATAGAGGAACAATCACATTGATCGCGCCGTTGGGCAGACTTGCGGGCGGGACCAAGAGCACGGGGGACAGCAACACAGATAAAAACAACTAAAAAAAAAAGTCGAAAGACTTAATAAAACTAAAGGCCATCATGTCGAGTCATAGTTATCGCACCACCACCGTAGAGTATTACGAGTACCTGATGCCGGAATCCCGTGAATATGACTTTGAATCGATACACTGGCCCTTGCATGCTGCTATTTCGGATAGCTACGTGACGCGTCCACTTTGCTCTTTTAACTATCTGACTAGTCTGCAAGACCATTTGGCAATGGCTGGCGACAACAATCAGCATAGTGAGCTAATCTACGACACGGTTCAATGTCCCCAAAGGCAGACTATATATGAATTTAGTGAGCAGGAGGAACCACATTCTACATATGCGTCGCCTAATCAAGCACATGAGGATCAAGCAGCAGATATGGCCAAGGAACATGAGCGTGAGACTGGGGATGGAGACGCTTCAGCATCGGAAACACATACCGAAGAAAAGCAACGTGGCAAAAAAAATATCTACCGCACAAAGCAGGGCTATTTGGTGGAGGAGCCCACCAGCGAATCCGAGGAGGACCAAGAAGGCACAACGTAGACTTTCTGGCTAATCAATAAGATTTTTGGATGGATGGCAGGCTTGCCGCAACGCATTGAACGACATCGTATCAGTTCAAATAATTGTGTTAGCCGTTACGCTTATGTTAATATTTAAATGTTAAATGACCAGAGTCCTGATGCCCATGTACAGATGCATACATATATATTTTTTGAACATACACATATACGCCAGCACAAACATATGCATATTTTTTATTGTAGCCAATCGGTGTTTCTTTGTTGTTAAACGTAAGCCTGCTGAAAAATAAAAATTCCACTTACATTTATATTTTCTATAAGCCTAACAAGTTGTTGCGCTCTTTGGCTTTGATCCAAAATGCGCGCGCTAAAATTTCCAATTGGGTATTTGTGTACGATGGCTACATAATTTGATTATTAGCACATGTTTGGGTACACTCTCTCACCATCATTATGGCGCTCACTCTCTTTGGGGTTCATCCTCTCGCTCTCGCTCTCGCTCTCTCACACTTTGGAGCCAAGTTGCCTATCAACTCTCGTTCAGTTGTCGCGTAGAGCTCACTGCCGAATGACGTGTCGCGCTGTGTTGGTTGTGCGCTTAAAAGCAATAACAGTTCAGACAACAAACAAACAAAAACTATTTTTAGGCTGTGAAAATATCAAAGTGCTGTAGTGCAAATAAGCATATGTATATGTATATACATTAATAAACTGCAGCAGCAAACAACACAAAATGTCGCCTTTCGACTGCAAATCACGGCGTGGCACCAAAATATCTGTTATATTATTGGGCAGCGCCCTATGCATTGTAATGATGGCTTATTTTGTGTTTGGCGACAGCAACGATGAGCAGGGCTTGAAAAAGCTACGCATGATATCAATTGTGAGCATTGGCCAAACAACAAATTAAGATGCGCATATCAAGTATGTCATTTACATATGTTTCTGCAGCTGTTTCGCCATGGTGCCAAGAATCCGAGTGGCTTCTACCCAAATGATCCGCACGCGGCGCTCGAGTGGCAGGAAGGCCTCGGTGCACTCACACAGGTGAGAGAGCGACCACAATAGTGGACTCAATATTAATGCCAGTTGTCTCTACAGAAGGGTACCCTGCAATCATATAAGTTGGGCCAAAATCTGCGCATGCGCTATTATCGCCTGCTGCCCTCGAACAGCATTTACACACAGCAGCAAGTGCATGTTCTAAGCTCAGCCGCGGAACGCTGTGTGGTGCGTGAAAGTCAAAAATTATTGTCTGATGATAAGAAAACTGTGTGTCTTATCAGTTGGTAGTTATCTTTTAGATGAGCGCTCAAAGCGTTTTGGCCGGACTGATGCCGCCGCTGGAGAACAACAATGTGCTGCCCATACCCTGGCAGCCGGTGGCCATAAACACTCTAGCTCGCAATGATGACATTGTAAGTTTTTCATCTAGCTAATTTAGATTGATATTGAGAGATTTTCTTATTAACCAACAGCTGTTGGCGCAAAAGAAGCCCTGCATCAAATATGACACAATATTGCAGAAGCTATACAAAACTCCGCCTCCAGAGCTAGATAAGCTGAATGAGGACAATAAGGCGCTATATAAGCTGCTCAGCAAGAACACGGGCAAGGTAAACAAAACATATAAGAGACTCTTCTAGCAACTCATTTTTAAAAACTTGCAGAACATTTCCAATGTGCTGGATGTGGAACTGTTGTATACCACACTAAAAACAGAAGAGGAAGTCAGCCTCGCTCTGCCCGATTGGACGGAGAACATATATCCCGAGGAAATGCGACCGTTGGCTGAGCGCAGCTACACCTTATTTACCGAGACGCACCTCATGAAGCGCATTAAGGGCGGCGCTTTTCTTACCGAAATACTCAAGAAGATGCAAAACAAACGCAGAAAGAATTTGAATCCAGATCGTAAAATATTTCTGTATTCAGCGCATGATGTAACGCTTGTAAATGTCATGAACTCCCTGGGCATTTTAGACCAGACGGCAAAGTTGCCGGAGTATGCCTCGGCATTGGTCTTTGAGCTGCATCACAGCAAATCTTTCGCTGATGGCGATTTCGAAGTGAAAGTAAACTATCATCAGACACGTTTGTCTTCATTTGAATTTAGTCTAATATATTCTTCACACACAGCTGGTCTACTACTTCAACAGCGAGGACAAGTTCCCCAAGGAGCTAACAATACCAAATTGTGATGCACCCTGTTCGCTAAGTCAATTTGGTGCTTCGCTAGAGCCTCTTCTGCTAGATAATTATGATGATACCTGTGAGAACCCTTTAACGGACTGCAAGAATTAAGCTAATTATTTTATGTTTTGTTATATTGAAAGTATTTTAAAGTGTAGCTATGTTGTTATTGTTGGAGAATATATATTATTATATATTCAAAAATCATTCCTGAGCACCACATTTCAAATTCGGAATTTTTATAATTAAATTCAAAATCTGGAGCCCTTATCTTCGGCATATAAAAAGTAAATTGGTACCTCCACCGTATCGCTGACACGAACAATTTCTTTATGGCTTATTAGACGAATTGCTGCAAGTCCATAGAAGAGCATAGGAAGGCCTGCGACAGGTACGGATTGATGTACTTGCATATACTTATCCCTTGATGCACTCACCTAGATTAATCACTTTGAGGAAACGAAAGAATTTGTCCTCTAGTGTTAGATCCTGCACTTCACGTTTGCTACAGTGATACTTCATGTACGGATAACAACCTGTGCGTAGTATATGATAGTTTGTGCCTGTGTCAAGTGTCCAATTGAAGTGCGACATTCCACGTTGATCATTCTGAACGTCTTTAAACTTAATTCATTGTGTTAAGGATTTGTTAAATCCGGTGTTTCTTGCTTACTTTTACAAAATATGATGTCCAAAATGGTTCATGACTCTGTTTTAAATATGCTGTCAGGACCTCGGAGGCTCGGGGCTTCAGCAAAATTCGCGTAAGTTGCATTCTTAAACAAACGCAACTGTTTTATTGCATAAAATAGCAGCAATGCATATGTATCAATACAAACAGCTGTTTTGTTCGCCAATGTTGCCAGACTTTCCATTTCGATAACAGCCGCTGTATGTATTTGCGTTGCCCAACACAGTAAATAGCGGACTTTTTAAATGTATATTTAAATTTCAGATCGCACTTAAATTGGACTAGGCTTGTGAAATGTGTAAGAAGTGTGTCTCATTCTTCAATAAGCCGTTTTCCAAAAGAAAACATACAAACGGAACATTTTAATATGCTGCCAATTCAAAATGAGCGTCTGTGGAAATATGAGTCGGGATCCGATGAACGTACTCAAGTGAAAGCTGCACTATCTGAAATCCTTAACAAAATAGAGCCGGTGCCATTCGTAATAGACGGCAAGGAGCTTTATAACAAATGTGAGCTAGTTCAGAAGGTGCCTTACAATATACACCATTATATAGCGCGGTATGAATATTTATGTAAACAAATCATATTCTATTCTAATCGACTAATACCAAAACATTTACAGTTACAATCATGCCGATCATAAAGTTATTCATCAGGCAATCGATTCGGCAACAAGGGCGCAGCAAACGTGGGATAAGACAAAGTTAAGTGAGCGCATGGCCATTTGGGATAGAGCAGCCGATTTGATAGCCAATAAATATCGTTTGAAGATTGTGGCGGCAACGATGCTTGGCCAGGGAAAGACACTTTGCCAGGCGGAAATGGATGTTGCTGAGCTGGTGGACTTTATGCGCATCAATCCAATTTTTCTACGTGATTTGGCAAACTACAAGCCACTTAACAGTCGCCCAGAAGCCTATTGCAATCATATGATATTACGCGGTCTTTCAGGCTTTGTAGCTGCGATCAGTCCATTCAACTTTACCAGCATTGCTGGAAATTTGGCCTATACACCAGCACTGATGGGCAATGCAGTGCTCTGGAAACCTTCAGATTCGGCTATTCTATCCAACTGGTATGTGTTCCAGGCCATGCAAGAGGCAGGTGTACCAGACGGCGTAGTAAACTTTGTCCCAGCTGACCCGATAAAATTCGCTCGGACAGTAACGCGTAATAGCAATCTAGCCGGTATTCACTTCACCGGCACATCTCCGGTACTAAAAATGCTCTGGAGAATGGTTGGAGAGCGTATTGACACTTTCAAAAACTATCCACGACTGGTTGGTGACTGTGGCGGCAAAAATTTCCACTTTGTGCATCCCTCGGCAAACACAGAGGTTGCAGTGGCCTGCACCATACGAGCAGCGTTTGAGTATGCTGGCCAAAAGTGCTCCTCCTGTTCCATGCTGTACGTGCCCGAATCTTTGTGGAAAACTGAGATTGAGACAGCCCTGCTGGAGATAACACGCAGACTGTTTGTCAGCGATGCTACCTACTGCGACTGTTTTTACTCGGCGGTCATTGATAAGAATGCATATACACGCCTCTTTACTTATCTTAACTATATACATAACAACGCCAACTGTGAACTGATACTTGGTGGCACATGCTCCAAGGGTCGCGGCTACTTTGTCGATCCCACCATAGTGCTTGTTAGCGATCTCGACAGTTTTCTGTGCAAAGAGGAACTGCTAGGACCCATTCTCTGCGTCTATGTCTATAAGGATAGTGATTTACGTAAGACCATGGATAAAATTTCTGAAATTAATCACGGCCTGACGGGCTCTGTCTTTGCCATGGACGATGAGTTTATTAAGGAAGCTTGCGAAGCGTTCAAATCCAATGTGGGCAACTTAAATATAAATGACAAATGTACGGGCGCCATGGTGGGACAGCAACCATTTGGAGCTGGCCAAATGACGGGCACCAATGAGAAAATGGGTAGTCCACAGTATTTGCTGCGCTGGACATCGCCGCAGGTTATTAAAGAGTCCTTTGTGCCGCATGTAAATGTTTATTATCCTTATATGGAGGTCAGCGATACCATACAGGACGTTAAGAAATTAATTAAACCTCAGAAAACTGAGGATTTCGACGATTATAATTTGAATAGAACCGAATAAACTTTAGTCTTCATCCAATAAGCCTAATATTCTTGTCAGTGACATTAACCTAAAGAACTAACTACGACGGTTTGCTCTCAAAATAAGCTCCCATTTAAGTTCCTTACTCTTAGTTAATGCTAATGCTAATGAAAACGGATGTACTTTATTATATACCTGGTTATGAGTTATATGTCTGATAATCAGTGAACAGTTTTTCAAAGGACCTGAAAATATTTGTACACTACGCTTGAAAAATTTGAAATTTTTGGTGCTGCTTGCCAAATGTTTAAATTATATTGGTGGCACAAAATGAGATGTCTGGTTGGGTTGAGCTGCAGCACGAGTTTCGAATAACAACCATATACCTGTTGCTGATTCTCTCGATTCCCACCTCAAACAGCGATAGCAAAATAAAAGAGATAGCTAGTGCGCCAGTCCATCTACCCCAGAGCCAGACGGCCACGTTGAAACGAATGTCTGGCAACAAAGTCGATATACCCCGGCTCTACTCTGCATACCGGGTGCTGTTGAAGGAGAGCGGCTCCGATGTCAAACTCAATGTGGGCAAACTAGGCAAGAGAACAGCTGTGGCGGATGAGGAGGATGATGATGCGGTTAGCAAAAGTGTGGAAATTCTCAAGGAACCTACAGGGGTGAATAATACGGTGAAAGCAGCCACAATAACTAAAGAGCTTCAAGAAAAGGCAAATGGAACAAAAACTATATTTGGTACAACAGGTGATCGGGAGGGGGCGAATGGTAAATGTGTGCCGGTTGGAAAACTCAATGATGTGGAGGACGAACAGAACGATAAGGGGAAGTCGAAAAATCCGGCAAGGCATGGCGTGGTTATAGTTAAAATTGATGTGCCTTCCGAGACAAAAGTGGATGCCGAAAAGGACCTGGGTAGAGGCGCACGGCCTCAGGGCAAAAAAGCTGAAATGGATTCAGCTGAACTCCGCATAGCAGAGCTGAATCGGGTGTATCAGGATTTTGTGAATGCCTGGAAGAGGCCTACACCGGAAACAAGGGGTCACAACCTGATTGGGCAGAAGAATACATTCCCAACCAGGCCATTTCGATTAAGTGCACTAAACGCGCTAATGAACGTTGTTGAGAATCTGAAGCAGTCGAATCCGGTGGATGAAATTGTCAAGGCAATCAATGATGAAATGAATCCGGAAAAAGAAAGTCTCATCGGTCCCTTTCAAGAGAAAAACAAAAGAATTATCAGCCGATCCTCAAAAATGTTTAAGCGCTTGGCTCCTAATGTGCCACCCGACATACAGACTGGTGGCCTTTATGAAGAGTACAAGAAAAAACTGAATAGTATTCTACAGGCACACAAGCATCCACGTAAATCCCAGGCCAAAGAAGAGACAGTACCTTTCCATGCTAATTCAGCCGGAAAGCATAATGAGCTGACCCTGTGTCACTGTGATTCTGCGAAATCGCTAATCATGGCCGTCGACAGTAGTGGACCGAAGGTATCCAAGGAACTGACGCCATGCCATTGTGAGGCCACAAGACACACCAACTTGGCATTCGAAGGGGATACGGTTAAAATATCCAATGGCCTGATTCCCTGCCACTGTGCAGCCATGAAAGGCGCCAGCTTGGCCGACGTGGTTAATTCGTGTTTATCTGAAACCGGCAGGAGCACAAAGGAGAAGAGCACGAGTACGCAGATGAACAAGGAAAATAGGCTGAATGGCGGCCTTAAGCCATACTATTTATCAAACTCAAAGCACAGACAGATGGTTTGGAATGATGTGCCTTTGATAAGGCCCGGCAGTCAAAAAAAAGGTAAGGTCGTTAAGCCGCAGATATTGTCCGCAACCAATGGTAGGATGAACCCAACTATTATCAATATGAAGAGTCGTGCACCAAATGCTGCAACTAAAACTAAGCCAAAGACCAAAATTGAGCAGGCAGTCTCTAAAAGTTTTTTGCGTAAAAACGCAACACATTCCGCTTCATTTATCAAGAATCAAAAGCAGCTGCAGCACATACTCAAAGTGTTCCAGGCCAAGCATCGCTCGATGAATGTAAGAAAAACGTCAAAGCGCGGCCTGATCAACTTGGGCAACGGGTTTGATAGCACGCCCGCCCATTTGGCATTTCCGGAAGTGCTCGTTAATAAGTTTGGGCAGACTCAAGACACTGGCGGCAAAATGATTGAGAATATGGCGAAGCAGCTGAATGTGTCGCCTGTGGAGATGGCTCAGCGTATTGCCTCGTCAAGTGGTGCAGGCAGCTATCCGCTGCAGGCCAACTTAGGTAAGTAGTTTGGCATTTGGCACATTATTAGCTGACAAAGATTTTTAAAAAGCAAGCCAGACCAACGGATGCCAAGTATCAATGGCAGCGTCAAGCCCCAAGATTGCGCCGTCAGCCACATTAGCCTGCCAACAGGGACCAACGGCTAATTTGGCGCCCATGTTAGAGAAGATTTTAAATCGACTACAGAGTATGCAAGATTCCAGTTTTAATCAGGGGAAGGCAGACAAATTGCCTTGTTGCTTCGCCGATCCAACTGACGGTTAGCAGACAACTAAGGTTTGAAATGCACATATTTTTTAAATTCTACTCGTATCAGGTGCTCCCTGTGAATTAACAGGCTCCTGGGAGTCTCTACTATTAAGCATTCGCATCGATATTAGAGATGACAACAAGATCGTTGTGCCGGAAGTCAAGCCGACCTGTTCCCAGCCCAAATTGCGTCGCTCCGACACCAATCGACTTTGGCGGCAGTGCGTTAAAATGACCCCAATCGAAATCAAGCAACGCTTCGTGTCATCTCAAATGAGAGTGCTTAATGTGACCATACAAGACACGCTGCCACCACGACCGCGTGAAATGATGGATAACCTTACGGAATGGACATTCACGGGTCAAGCGGTCAATACTCTAGGTGGGCCGATATCGTTAACCTGTCGGAAGCTAAACTCCAATTTGATGGGTACCTTTCTGGGCTTTTGTCGTCGATGCGGTTGCATAGACACCATTTTCGGCAGTTGGACCTTTTGTCAGCCGTCACGGGATTGTCAGGACATAACAATGTCAATTTTTGATAGGCGGGATATTCTGCGTCGTTTTTCGTTAGACGATGCGCGTAGGGAACGATTTAAGGAGCAATTATATACAAAAAGCAGATACGCCAAAATAGAGATGGAAAGACAAGCATCAGAATTACCCACGTAGCCGGCTAGACACACTAGTAACTTTATTAATTGCAGTTTTTTTTTTTTTGGTTCTATGTTATGTATTCATTTATTTTGATATATAAGACGTTTCTTTTTTAAATAACATTACAGCTGTTGCCTTTTGTTGCGGTTTATAAAGGACATGGCATAGCCAATGGAACGTTTGACACAGTGCTCGTCCATGTCATTGCCTGTTTTACACTGTCTCAACTGGTCCACCACATAGTCTATGACTCTGGTTTTTAGTTGTTCGTTGTCGTCTATGCGCTCCAGACGCTTTTCTACTTTGTGTATAAGCAAATAGGCTTCTGGATAATCGGCGACATCACAGGGCCACATCTCAGAGTGTCTATGAGTCCAGCTTGGTCGGACCTCCTCGTCACTCGTATTATAGTCCTGTGACTGACGCCACGTGCCAGCCTTAGCCAGGGCAAATGTACAGACAAGTAGAAGAATGTACGACAGACGCATTATGTGAAAATGAACTACTGATTAGCGCTATTGACACTTGCTTTTATACGGTTGATAATCTATGAATATTTTGCTGAATTTGCAGTGCTTTGTTAAGCTAGGGCTTTGCACTTAGTATGACCGATTTGATTTTGCTGACACTTGCAGTTCTTATCGTTAGTGTGCAAGTTTTCAAAACTAGTAGGGCGCGCAATCGCACAATCGATAAGACTGCTTGTTATCGAGCGCAGAACAGCTGTTCAGAACTCGCTTACCAACACTGCAATTGTGGACTTGGCAACCCTGCATGAAAACACTCCAACAAGAAGTGAGAGCTGCAATTTGTTAATTAAAAACAAACAAATATAAATAAACGCACTGTTTTGGGCAGAAATAACGCGCAAATGCAAGCAAAATGGGTAATCAATTGGTTGGCATTGCACCATCGCAGATCTATGCAGTGGAACACTACTTTTCTGGCCAGTTTGGCAATGAAATCATTTTCGACCTGAAGTGAGTACATATTTACCAGCTGCTTATTACACATAAGTGTATATATGCACATATGGGTTCATATGACGTCTTATCCACCCACAGTATGGGGAGTACGCGTTTTTTTAAAGTGGCGAAAGCTAAAACCGATGAAGGTTTGATAGTTGTCAAGGTATTTGTCAAACATGATCCAACATTACCGCTGGAGGATCACAAGGAACGCTTGGAGAGCATAAAGAAGACCCTATCGCTTGCTAATGCTGTTAACTGTTTACCCTTTCAGCGCGTGGAGGTTAGTCTACAACTACAATTTGTCCGTCAAAATATTAATGTGATCTTTAACATTCCACAACAGCTCATCGACAAGGCAGCCTACATAATGCGAGAGTATGTCAAGCACAGTCTGTACGATCGCGTGTCCACTCGACCTTTTCTTACTGTGCTCGAGAAGAAGTGGATTACCTTTCAGATTTTGTGCGCTCTAAACCAGTGTCACAAGCAAAAAATCTGTCATGGTGATATAAAGCTTGAGAACATTTTGATCACCTCATGGAATTGGATCCTGTTGTCGGATTTTGCTTCATTTAAGCCCACATATCTACCAGAAGACAATCCAGCAGATTATACCTATTTCTTTGACACGAGCAGACGTCGCACTTGCTATATAGCTCCAGAGCGTTTTGTAAAGACGATGTCGTCTGAAGACGATCCCTATAATGCAAATATGTCTGTTATTCACTCGGACTCCATAATACGTGTGCCGACTTCATATGCTGGTAACACTTTGCAGCCTGCTATGGATATATTCTCCGCTGGGTGAGTTAATACATGCAACACATTCACAACATAAATGTATTAAAAGTTTTTCCATTTACAGCTGTGCCTTGCTAGAGCTCTGGACAGAGGGCACTGCTCCATTTGAGCTGTCTCAACTGCTTGCCTATCGGCAGGGTGAACGAGATCTCGTGGAGAAACATTTGGCTGGCATTGAGAACGAACGACTGCGCAACTTACTGGCATCCATGATTGACATTAATTCAATAAAGCGCAAGAGCGCAGAGGATTATTTAGATCAGGAGCGCGGTAAACTATTTCCAGAATACTTTTACTCATTTCTGCAGTCATATTTGCAAATGTTCTCATCGACACCAATCAAGTCGCCCGATGACAAGATACAATGTCTGCACAAAGACATTGGTCACTGCATTAAGGTGCTGACACAAGCTCATGACGTAACACCCAGTGAGGAAGACGAACAGATACCAGAGAAAAGGGATTCTCTTAAGTACGAGCGGCTGCCGCCAGATCAGGATGGTCTAATACTTATCATAACAGTTGTCACCTCTTGCATTAGAGGTCTCAAACAGTCCAACACAAAAATTGCTGCGTTGCAGCTACTGCAAAAGTTATCGAAGTATACCACATCTGAGACCATACTGGATCGTATATTACCATATATTGTATGTTACAGTTGAATTATCACATATTTCATTTAACTCATGCTCTTTGCCCGCAGCTGAATCTGGCACAAAAGTCGACAGCCAAGGTACAGGTTCAAGCTATTGAAACGTTGACCGCCTGCTTGAGCATGGTCAAAGACATTCCTCGCAGCGATGCCAATGTATTTCCGGAATACATACTGCCCTACATCACCGACTTGGCCAGCGAATCGAGCGCTGTTATTGTGCGCGTGGCCTTTGCTCGCAACATTGCAGCGCTTGCCAAGAGTGCTGTTTACTTTCTGGAGGAGACGCAGCGCAATGCACCAAACGAAATGCCTACGCCACGTTATGAGGCGGAACTGAATGCTCTGCATGATATTGTGCGTCAGGCGGTGCTCAGTTTGTTGACAGACACGCAGCCCATTGTGAAACAGACGCTGATGGAGTCGGGTATCTGCGATTTGTGCGCGTTCTTTGGAAAGGAGAAAGCGAACGACGTGATACTCTCGCACATTATGACGTTCCTCAATGATGATGATAAAAATTTGCGCGGCGCTTTTTATGACAACATTGCTGGTGTTGCCGGTTACGTTGGCTGGCAAGCATCGGATATACTGGTTCCCCTTTTGCTGCAAGGCTTCACAGATCGCGAGGAGTTTGTCATTGCAAAGGCCATACGTGCGGTGACAATTCTAATCGAGTTGGGACACATAAGAAAGCCCACCGTCACTGAAATTGTAAATGAAACCGCCTGCTATTTGTGTCATCCAAATTTGTGGGTGCGTCATGAGATTTGCGGCATGATTGCCACAACAGCGCGCAATCTGAGTGCTATTGATGTGCAGTGTAAGATTATGCCGGCTATTGGAAGATTCTTGAAGGCGCCGCTAATACAAGTGGACAAACCTCATATTCTGCTTGATTGTCTGCTGCCGCCCATACCCCGACAGGTCTTTGACAGCGTGCTGCGCTTCCAGGATGTTCAGTGTTTTGTTAGCGCCCTCGAGGACCGTGCTCGCTTACGCAACAACACACGACACTGCGCCCAGCCTCAGTATGATGACATTAGCAGACAGATTGGTGGTGCACGGAACAGTGGCCAGTCACAGTCTGATGACATGGGTCAGGCGCTGCTCAATGTAAGTGCTTTGGTAATTTTGGTTGTTCCAAGTGAACCACTCACATTTCCAAAACACTACAGCTCTTTCGACGACTTATCTCGGAGGGATTGACGGAGACAATTGAGATGCAATTGTTGGCTATGAAACCTTTTTTGATATCCCTTAAGCACAAGGCGCAACAAGATCTTGATGATGCCAGCTGTGCCAATGGACGGATTGTGGTCAGTCGCAAGCAGGTGGGCTGCCATGAATATCCCCTGGCGGAGAAGGCTACCAAATTGACTCAGGACAATCGTAAGACTTAAACGAAGTGCCATATCGACTTTCAGATTTGATAAACATAGTCTCTACCTAGGAAACACAGATGCCCATGCTCCAGCACTTGTTTCACCCGCGTCAGACGCGGCTGTTACTACACACATAACTTCTGGTCCTTCTGGCAGTCCCGCCTCCGGCACCATGTTACTGGGCGTGCCGCACACAACAGTGAGCACTGCCACTTCGTTGGGTGAATATACCATGCCGGATCGAAACTATTCGCTGGATCGCTCTTCGGAGTGTTGCAAGGACTTGGAATCGCTGACCCTTAAGATCAAGCGTCGCTATAATGTACTGGCACTCTCACAACGCTGCAATTATGATAAGCTGGTGACGCCATATCCATCCAATTGGCGCCTCAACGGTACGCTAGTTGCGCATCTGCATGAACATTCCGAGTCGGTAATTAAGCTAGCACCGTTGCGTCCTGACGGTTCACTGTTTGCCAGCGGCAGCATCGATGGCACAGTTAGATTGTGGGATTGCAGCAAGCTAAACGGCAATCAGGGCATCAATAAATCTCGTCAGGTATATTCAGCTCATACGCCCATTTATGCGCTGGCCGCATGCGATGCTGGACAGTCTCTAGCCGTGGGCGGCAAGGATGGCAGTCTATTAATAATGCGCATCGATCGCAATTCCACCAAGATGACCCTACAGCAAGCCTTGGATCAGAAGTAAAATGGACCAATGTTTGCTTGCACATTTCACCTAATTACTTTTTCCTCTTTTTGTAGTGAATATAACGATGGACCTGTTGTGGATATGCATGCGTATGATCAGGCGGCGCAGAGTGTTATTGTCTATGCAACACTTTATGGCGGCATTGTGGCCTGGGATACGCGCATGCAGCATAGCGCCTGGCGTTTGCAGAACGAGCTGCGTCATGGTGTCATCACCACCATTTGTGCGGATCCAACGGGCTCTTGGCTGGCAACGGGCACCAGTGGTGGCAAGCATATCTGCTGGGACTTGCGTTTCCGACTGCCTATAACCGAGATTAAGCATCCGGCGGACTCGTGGATAAGAAAAGTGGCCTGCCATCCAACGGAGCCATCATATCTGATCTCCGCCTCGCAGTCCAATAATGAAGTATCTGTATGGAACATTGAGACGGGTCAACGACAAACTGTGCTTTGGGCCAGCCCAGCACCCGTTCTGACCAATACCAGTCTCAATGATCCAGCAACAACTTGTGGTATTTTGAGCGGTGTGGTCGACGGTTCACCGTTCATTTTGACAGGTAGTTCGGATCAGCGTATCAGGTATTGGGACATAGGATCGCCAAAGAACTCGGCATTGAAAGTGCCAGCGGCAAATGATAATTTGGCCAATGTGTCCTTTAACTATAGGTATGTATTCATATGGTCGATATGCATTTAATATTTCTCCCAAACCCTTTCTTATATGTATGATTATTTTTAGTGCTCGTCTAATCGACGGCAGCCAAGTTATTGAAGAACAAATCATTCCTAAAAACGGTACAGGTGACTCGCAACAGATGCGTACTTCAATTGAGGAAAGTCCCAGATCGGGACCGGATATGCCCAAAGCAAGCCATCATGATGCCATCACTGACTTGCTCATGTGCAAAGATAAGGGACAAATTTATATAGCGTCGGCTTCGCGTGACGGTGTTATCAAGCTCTGGAAGTAGTAACTTATTTTAACTCTTATATCTGTGATTAGTCTAATTAAACAACAATATAACTTATACTTACCCGCATTTTAGAATCTCACATCGCACGTTAAAATTCAAATTGTTTGTTGCACCGTAGTGCATCTTTACATTAATTGGCGGCGCTGCCAGACCGTTAAAAATGAAAATGGCCTCTTACAACCAAACTACGTACTGAGCGACTCCAGCGTGTTGGCAACGGTAAATTATTGCAGACATAATGACAACCCTATAAACAGACGCCGCGGCCAACTTCACTTTTTTTTGACATCTGCAGCTGGCGCTGTTTTTCGCTTTTGTATCTTTGCAAGCGCCGTTATGAGCAGAGCGGCCAAGCGCCATAAGTCCAAGTGAAAAGTGAGTTTGTGAGGCAACGACGCTATAGTATACAAAAAGAATAAACAAAAATCAAGTATATCTCACAACTAAACAACTCAGCAGTTCAAATATCACAACGGAGCGCGCAAATAAGTCAAAGTACCAATATCGAAATACAAAATATACAACGCACGGCAATTAAATCGCGCACGCAGTCGCTGTGTAGCAGGACAACGCTAGGGTAGACAAAAACAACAACAACTACAACGACACAGCCAGCGCACACATACAAGCATTTCAAAATGGCGCCAATTAAAGGTACCACTCGCACTGCTGCAAGCAACCAGGCGACCATAAACGCACTTTTACCCATGGCAGGCGTGCGAGGCAAGGGACTGAGCCGTCGGGCGGCCAACAGTGGCATTGATCCAAATGCAGAGAATATGCAGACGCGCGGTAAACGCAAGGCCGATAATAGCCCCATCAAGAATGATAAGATCAAGCGCTCGGCGCTGGGTAATTTGACCAACAATGTTAAGATCATGACGCTGCATCCAGGCGACGAGGACTCCAAGCAGCAGCTGCCCAAAAAGCCGACGGCACAGCAACTTCAGGCGCTTCTGGATGCAAAGACTATTGACAATCTAAATGTTTTAGCTGCAGTCACTGCTCCACTCCCTGCTGCTATGCCCAACAAAATAATGACGCGCGCCTCAACCAAGACAGAGGACTCGGTGGAGAACTGCCACAAAGTGCTGGACAAGTTCGAAGAGGCGTTAGCGCGTCAAAAGACACGCAAGGCACCAGTGGCAGCAAAAAAGCCGGCCACAGTGCTAGTCGAGCCAAAAGTTGCGCCTATGCAGGCTCCTGTCCAAAAATTGGCTGCTCCGCCTCCGCCTCCGCCGGCTGCCGTCAAGCCGGTGCGCCGCATATCAAATGACTTTAATAAGACTGAGGAGAGCCTCTATATGTCCGCCCTGGAGGACATCTCCAGCTGCGAATCCATGCGTTTGTCTGGCAATTTTGAGGCAGCGCGACGCCTCTCTGCTAAACTGCAACTAAAGACTGAACAGCCAAAGGCAGCACCGACGCAGCAATCGGTGCATATGGCAGCAGCCGCTGCTGCTATGGTGACGCCTGTGCGCCCCGTGCCCGATGATGTGGAGGACTTTGATCGCAAGAACTGGGATGATCCCTTCCAGGTCTCCCACTATGCCATGGACATATTTAATTATTTGAAATTGCGCGAGCCAGAGTTTCCCATTCACGATTATATGCCAAAGCAGGTACATTTGACCACCTGGATGCGAACGCTGCTAGTCGACTGGATGGTCGAGGTGCAGGAGACCTTTGAATTAAATCATGAGACGCTATATTTGGCTGTCAAAATTGTCGATCTCTATTTGTGCCGCGAAGTTATAAACAAGGAAAAACTGCAGCTGCTGGGCGCTGCCGCGTTCTTCATTGCATGCAAGTACGATGAACGCCAGCCGCCGCTAATTGAGGACTTTCTGTATATATGCGATGGCGCCTACAATCACGACGAGCTTGTCAAAATGGAAATGGAAACGCTGCGAACCATCAACTACGATCTCGGCATACCGCTCTCGTACCGCTTCTTGCGCCGCTATGCTCGATGTGCCAAGGTGCAAATGCCCACGCTTACTCTGGCGCGCTACATTCTGGAGCTGTCGCTTATGGACTATGCCACCATTGGTTTTAGCGACTCGCAAATGGCCTCGGCCGCTCTCTTCATGGCACTGCGCATGCATGGCGGTGCCGCGAATCTGCACAAAAAGACCTGGACCTCAACGCTGGCCTACTACACAGGCTATCAACTGGCACAGTTTGCGGAAGTCGTGCCGGTGCTGAACGCAGGACTGCATAGGAAACCACGCGCCACCATTAAGACGATACGGAACAAGTACTCGCATAAGATATTCCATGAGGTGGCCAAGGTGCCGCTGCTTAGCAACGTGGAGCTATTCCAAAGCAATCTTGATCTGAACGAAAGTAACTCGTGCACCTGAGCCATACAATTGGGGGCCTTGCACTGCTGTAACGCCAATTAGCCAAATTGATAATGAGCAACAACTGTTACGCTTCACTAGACATTAAGACGCTTCAATCCATAACATCTCTAAAGAACCCTATCAGTCCAAATAGCAACCCCTTAACCAAGATATTCATATATTTTTATTTAATTTTTTCGATTTATTTTGTACTTTTTGCGTGTTGCTAATGATGTTCTATTATTGGTTTACATTTATGACTTTTTCTATAAATTTTATGTTCAGCATTCAGATTGTTTCCATTTATGTTTATTGTTTACTCTTCTTTTATTAAAAAAAAAAAGGCAATTATGCAGGGTAGCCAGCACAACTGTCACCCAACCCGACCACAAGAACTAACCATTTACATATATAAATATATTTAAATGTATACTATTTATAATCAGAAAATACCCTTAATAAATTCTACACATATTTTAAGCATTTGCAACGCCAATGCCGTTTGATGATGTTGGACACCAAAGCTGACATGGATTATACGTTTAAACATTTTATACTACAATTCTACAGATCCTTACACGCGTAGTACTATTAACAACTAACCGACGGCAGATGCTCTGCCCAGCTGCACAATTCCCATTTATGTATGTAATTTTGTAGTTGTTGTTTTTGTTACCAATCATGACTTTTTATACATTGTATGTAACGGAAAAATTAATATTCCATTGTCTAAATAACTAGTTATGTATGTATTCGTATTCCATGTTATCTATATATGTATGGCTGTATGCATGTATGCTGCCGAGTCAAGAAAACCAATAAACAATCTTAATGTCCGTTCAAGAAAGTACATTTATATACAATTGGGGGAATGTACCTGAGTTTAAGGTAAGTGCTTCGTATATATATCCGTATACTATATACTTATATATTTTTGCATGTATTCACAGCACACAAACTATTTGGGACAGCTCCAGTTTCAATTGATTTTGTTCAGGTGAGTCTATTTCCCATGTGACACGCACATTCACATGCACATCAATAATGTATTTGTATTTGATTTCAGGCTCTGGTTTTTTTTTTGGCGGGCCCGTCTTCATGTTTTAGCGCCAAATTATTTTGGGTTTTGCCTGGCAAGCGGCGCATGCGCCGCAAGACATCAGCATCGATGCCCGTTCCCGTTCCCGTAATCGTCTTTGTCCAACAAATCACTGCATACACAACCGATTTCTACCGCTGCAGTTGAACCTTAAAAAGGGCAGGCAGCCAGCAGCAGCAGCCGCCGCCTGTCTGTCTGTCTGTCTGTCTGTCTGTCTCCTTGACGTTTTCTACCACCTTTCCTTGTCGGTCGCCGGCCGCCTGTCGTCCGTCGTCTGTCCTCCTCCCATTGTGCGCTTGTTCTTAATTTTTTTTGGCTGCCAGCGCTGCCTGCAACCAGGTAGTTGTATATCCATTGTGTGTTTCCTCAACGAAATTATGAGGCAACTGAAATGCATGTTACTTTTTTCCGGTTCGCAAGGTAGGGTGCGTTATGTACGTACAGGACAAAGCCAAAGTTGTCCTCGTGTCGTCTTTTACTTCTGCTGCTGCTGCTGCTGTTGCTCAAGGTGCAACCGGGGTATATGGCTAATTACTTTGGTTGGGTGTGTGCAAAAAATCAAGTTTATTAAAGTACACACAGTCGAGCAGCTGCTGCTCCTAGACCTGACGCGGTAAGGTTAGCTTACACCTAACTTATGACCATACTCTTAATGTTATTTTTGTCTTTTTAGTAACCTGGCCTATTGAAGGCGCCATTATAGCCGCCACCAAAGCCGCTGCCATATCCCTGGGAACCATGATTGTTTAGCACATCGAATGGTCCCTTATGCACACCATCCTCTGTGTACTCGGTTTTCATTTTGAAGCTATGATCCCAACGATCACGTTGCCCTGGTGCTGCATTTGGTCCATAATTATGTTGGTTCTGGTAGCTGATGGGTGGTGCTCCCTGGTGTGTCACAACAGGAACATTTCCTGGAACGCCTGGATAGAGTGGAAATGGTGCTGTAGGTGGATAAGATGGATACTGTGGCAAATATTGGCCTGGATAGGGGTAGCCAGGCTGTAAGTGCTGAAAGCCAGGTTGGTGAGCTCCAAAACTTGGATAAACGCCTGGAGGATTGCTTCCAGAATGAGGGGCTGCTTGCGGATTTGTATTATGCGGATATCCATAGGGAAACGGCGCAGGCAGCTGTGCCTGTCCCGGAATTGGTTGCTGACAACCGTTTGGTACTGAATTTTGAGCTGCGCCTGGTGTCAGACGTCCGCATACAGCTGGTGAGCTTTGAGGAACTGGATAGACGCCGGGCTGTGGCTGTCCAGCGGTGGGTAGTTCAGGATAATTTGAATATCCACTAGGCTGTTGCTGTGGAGTGCCCACAGCAATACCATAAGGCCCAGCACGAGCATCAAAGGTGCCGACACCACTGCCGCCGCTCTCGTGAGCGGACGGTGCGTCAATGTCAAGGGAATCACTTTGTTGCTGCCTTATACAGTTGCGAGTTGAGATGCGCCCGCTCATGGTGACGATTGCTGGTTATGCCGCCTTTGAAAGTGGAGGCCAAATTAAATTGTGTATTGGAATCCTCATTGCTTTCATCTCGCGAATATTGCGACGCGTGGGTCAGGCCAGCGGTCAGGGCTAATAGCAGCTCGACATAGACGATGCTCCAGCGCATGATGAAGCTTCCGATGGAACTGGACCCTAACAGCGCATGCTTCGTATATTTAAAGATAATGCGATGTGAGCTAAGCTGAGTTTATGCCTGATGGGGTTATCGTTCATGTCATGTTCTAGACTGAGACGTTTTGTGTTTCATTGAGAAGTAAATAATAATGGCATTCGATGTTTGCAAAACCGAAGTGCTAATTCTCTTTTCAATTCTGAGAAACATTTATACAGCAAATATGTTGCTCAGTCTTTTTCAATAATCAAATTTATAGATGTCACAATCTTATATATGAACGAGACAATACACTAGGGTTTGGGTTTTCCCATGTTTTGTGGGCGAGCACATAGTTTGCTTGGCTAAACCTTGACTTTGTTTTGCAGAAACGAGAATGCGCAGCCCTGATACTTGCACCTAGGTCTCTACCATCCGATTGGCCTATTAATGATAGGATCATCAGCATTGTTGAAGGTTGACCATTGAGTAAACACATACATGTGTATGTTCGATTATCAGCATGCTATATAAGCCTGACTTTCGCGAAGGAACCGCGTCATATTAATTTGTAACACACACAGAGATGCAACTCAACATGAGATTCTGCTTCCTGTCGCTGGCATTTCTGCTGGCTGCACAGGCCAAACCCACCTTTGATAAGATGGCTGAAGTGCTGCTTGGCGTACTGGATGATAGTCCGCATTACCCAAGAGCGGGACCCTATGGATCATACCCACCACCAGCACCGCTCATACAGGAGGGCTACGATCATGGCTATGATTACTATTATGGCGGCGGCAGTGGACATGTCCATGGCAATGGTGTGGTTGTTGGCAGTCCCTATTCGCAGCCCCCGCCACCGCCTGCATACGGCTACTATCCAAGACCAGCGCATGGCCCAGTAAAGGGCTACTATCCGGAACCGCAGTATCCACAAGGCTATGCACCCACAGCAGTAAATTATCGACAAGGCTATGGCAGATCGGGAGCAATAGGACCTGGAGTTGGCGGCTACAAGCAACATGGCTATTAAAATCAATTTGCATTTGATACATATTTTAGAAATTACTTAAGATTAAGAGGATTGTTTTTTATACATAATTTATTTATATGACTGCCATCTGCTCAATCTATATGTTGTTATTTCTGGGCATGCCGAACCTGGTCATAGCTTAAAGAGCGTAGACAAAGCTAAGCTTTTGTCTGTCCCTTGTGAAAATGGGAAACAATTGGCACCGAGCATTTCCGACTCCGAAAATCGATAAATATCTGATTCCAGCCTCGAATCTTACCTCGTAGATTACGAGAACAAGAGTCACCAAATATATTCTATATAAATATATAATAATGGAAGATCAATGCCACGACATTTCTACCTAGGAATGGTAAACATCGTATCAGAATTATAAGAAATAAGAATATAATCAGCTCAAGTTCAGCACATAAATAATTAATACATATTGCCCTCTTCTGATTTGTTCATTTATCTGTTGTTTGTCAGCTCACAGAACTTGTTTATATAGCTCATAGCCCCTCCGAGCGGAGGGAGTTATGTCGTTTTGGAACGTCATATCTCCCCGCGGAGCTATTACCCGTCAAACCGCGCGGGGTTATGTCGTTTTGGAACGTCATATCTCCCCGCGGAGCTATTATCCGTCATATTACGCGGAGTTATGTCGTTTTGGAACGTCATATCTCCCCGTGGAGCTATTTCCATCCGAGCGGAGGGAGTTTGTCGTTTTGGAACGTTATATCTCCCCGCGGAGCTATTTCCATCCGACCGGAGGGAGTTATGTCGTTTTGGAACGTCATATCTCCCCGCGAAGCTATTACCCATCATACCGCGCGGAGTTATGTCGTTTTGGAACGTCATATCTCCCCGCGGAGCTATTTCCATCCGAGCGGAGGGAGTTTGTCGTTTTGGAACGTTTTATCTCCCCGCGGAGCTATTTCCATCCGACCGAAGGGAGTTATGTCGTTTTGGAACGTCATATCTCCCCGCGAAGCTATTACCCATCATACCGCGCGGAGTTATGTCGTTTTGGAACGTCATATCTCCCCGCGGAGCTATTATCCGTCATATTACGCGGAGTTATGTCGTTTTGGAACGTCATATCTCCCCGTGGAGCTATTTCCATCCGAGCGGAGGGAGTTATGTCGTTTTGGAACGTTATATCTCCCCGCGGAGCTATTTCCATCCGACCGGAGGGAGTTATGTCGTTTTGGAACGTCATATCTCCCCGCGAAGCTATTACCCATCATACCGCGCGGAGCTATGTCGTTTTGGAACGTCATATCTCCCCGCGGAGCTATTATCCATCATACCGCGCGGATCTATGTCGTTTTGGAACGTCATATCTCCTCGCGAAGCTATTACCCATCATACCGCGCGGAGTTATGTCGTTTTGGAACGTCATATCTCCTCGCGAAGCTATTACCCATCATACCGCGCGGAGTTATGTCGTTTTGGAACGTCATATCTCCCCGGGGAGCTATTTCCATCCGACCGGAGGGAGTTATGTCGTTTGGGAACGTCATATCTCTCCGCGGAGCTGTTACCCATCATACCGCGCGGAGTTATGTCGTTTTGGAACGTCATATCTCCCCGCGGAGCTATTTCCATCCGAGCGGAGGGAGTTTGTCGTTTTGGAACGTTATATCTCCCCGCGGAGCTATTTCCATCCGACCGGAGGGAGTTATGTCGTTTTGGAACGTCATATCTCCCCGCGAAGCTATTACCCATCATACCGCGCGGAGTTATGTCGTTTTGGAACGTCATATCTCCCCGCGGAGCTATTATCCGTCATATTGCGCGGAGTTATGTCGTTTTGGAACGTCATATCTCCCCGCGGAGCTATTACCCATCATACCGCGCGGGGTTATGTCGTTTTGGAACGTCATATCTCCCCGCGGAGCTATTATCCGTCATATTGCGCGGAGTTATGTCGTTTTGGAACGTCATATCTCCCCGCGGAGCTATTTCCATCCGAGTGGAGGGAGTTATGTCGTTTTGGAACGTCATATCTCCCCGCGAAGCTATTACCCATCATACCGCGCGGAGCTATGTCGTTTTGGAACGTCATATCTCCCCGCGGAGCTATTATTCACCATACCGCGCGGATCTATGTCGTTTTGGAACGTCATATCTCCTCGCGAAGCTATTACCCATCATACCGCGCGGAGTTATGTCGTTTTGGAACGTCATATCTCCCCGCGGAGCTATTTCCATCCGAGTGGAGGGAGTTATGTCGTTTTGGAACGTCATATCTCCCCGCGAAGCTATTACCCATCATACCGCGCGGAGCTATGTCGTTTTGGAACGTCATATCTCCCCGCGGAGCTATTATCCACCATACCGCGCGGATCTATGTCGTTTTGGAACGCCATATCTCCTCGCGAAGCTATTACCCATCATACCGCGCGGAGTTATGTCGTTTTGGAACGTCATATCTCCCCGCGGAGCTATTACCCATCATACCGCGCGGAGTTATGTCGTTTTGGAACGTCATATCTCCCCGCGGAGCTATTATCCGTCATATTGCGCGGAGTTATGTCGTTTTGGAACGTCATATCTCCCCGCGGAGCTATTTCCATCCGAGTGGAGGGAGTTATGTCGTTTTGGAACGTCATATCTCCCCGCAAAGCTATTACCCATCATACCGCGCGGAGCTATGTCGGTTTGGAACGTCATATCTCCCCGCGGAGCTATTATCCATCATACCGCGCGGATCTATGTCGTTTTGGAACGTCATATCTCCTCGCGAAGCTATTACCCATCATACCGCGCGGAGTTATGTCGTTTTGGAACGTCATATCTCCTCGCGAAGCCATTACCCATCATACCGCGTGGAGTTATGTCGTTTTGGAACGTCATATCTCCCCGGGGAGCTATTTCCATCCGACCGGAGGGAGTTATGTCGTTTGGGAACGTCATATCTCTCCGCGGAGCTGTTACCCATCATACCGCGCGGAGTTATGTCGTTTTGGAACGTCATATCTCCCCGCGGAGCTATTATCCGTCATATTGCGCGGAGTTATGTCGTTTTGGAACGTCATATCTCCCCGCGGAGCTATTATCCGTCATATTGCGCGGAGTTATGTCGTTTTGGAACGTCATATCTCCCCGCGGAGCTATTTCCATCCGAGCGGAGGAAGTTATGTCGTTTTGGAACGTCATATCTCCCCGCGGAGCTTTTATCCGTCATATTACGCGGAGTTATGTCGTTTTGGAACGCCATATCTCCCCGTGGAGCTATTTCCATCCGAGCGGAGGGAGTTATGTCGTTTTGGAACGTCATATCTCCCCGCGGAGCTATTACCCATCATACCGCGCGGGGTTATGTCGTTTTGGAACGTCATATCTCCCCGCGGAGCTATTATCCGTCATATTGCGCGGAGTTATGTCGTTTTGGAACGTCATATCTCCCCGCGGAGCTATTTCCATCCGAGTGGAGGGAGTTATGTCGTTTTGGAACGTCATATCTCCCCGCGAAGCTATTACCCATCATACCGCGCGGAGCTATGTCGTTTTGGAACGTCATATCTCCCCGCGGAGCTATTATCCATCATACCGCGCGGATCTATGTCGTTTTGGAACGTCATATCTCCTCGCGAAGCTATTACCCATCATACCGCGCGGAGTTATGTCGTTTTGGAACGTCATATCTCCCCGCGGAGCTATTTCCATCCGAGCGGAGGAAGTAATGTCGTTTTGGAACGTCATATCTCCTCGCGAAGCTATTACCCATCATACCGCGCGGAGTTATGTCGTTTTGGAACGTCATATCTCCCCGGGGAGCTATTTCCATCCGACCGGAGGGAGTTATGTCGTTTGGGAACGTCATATCTCTCCGCGGAGCTGTTACCCATCATACCGCGCGGAGTTATGTCGTTTTGGAACGTCATATCTCCCCGCGGAGCTATTATCCGTCATATTGCGCGGAGTTATGTCGTTTTGGAACGTCATATCTCCCCGCGGAGCTATTTCCATCCGAGCGGAGGGAGTTATGTCGTTTTGGAACGTCATATCTCCCCGCGGAGCTATTTCCATCCGAGCGGAGGGAGTTATGTCGTTTTGGGAACGACATATCTCTCCGCGGAGCTGTTACCCATCATACCGCGCGGGGTTATGTCGTTTTGGAACGTCATATCTCCCCGCGGAGCTATTATCCGTCATATTGCGCGGAGTTATGTCGTTTTGGAACGTCATATCTCCCCGCGGAGCTATTTCCATCCGAGCGGAGGGAGTTATGTCGTTTTGGAACGTCATATCTCCCCGCGGAGCTATTACCCATCATACCGCGCGGGGTTATGTCGTTTTGGAACGTCATATCTCCCCGCGGAGCTATTATCCGTCATATTGCGCGGAGTTATGTCGTTTTGGAACGTCATATCTCCCCGTGGAGCTATTTCCATCCGAGCGGAGGGAGTTTGTCGTTTTGGAACGTCATATCTCCCCGCGGAGCTATTTCCATCCGACCGGAGGGAGTTATGTCGTTTTGGAACGTCATATCTCCCCGCGGAGCTATTTCCATCCGACCGGAGGGAGTTATGTCGTTTTGGAACGTCATATCTCTCCACAGAGCTGTTACCCATCATACCGCGCGGGGTTATGTCGTTTTGGAACGTCATATCTCCCCGCGGAACTATTACCCATCATACCGCGTGGAGTTATGTCGTTTTGGAACGTCATATCTCCCCGCGGAGCTATTACCCATCATATCGCGCGGAGTAAAGTCGTTTTGGAACGTCATATCTCCCCGCGGAGCTATTATCCATCATACCGCGCGGAGCTATGTCGTTTTCGAACGTCATATCTCCCCGCGGAGCTATTTCCACCCGAGCGGAGAGAGTTATGTCGTTTTGGAACGTCATATCTCCCCGCGAAGCTATTACCCATCATACCGCGCGGAGTTATGTCGTTTTGGAACGTCATATCTCCCCGCGGAGCTATTTCCATCCGAGCGGAGGGAGTTATGTCGTTTTGGAACGTCATATCTCCCCGCGGAGCTGTCACCCATCATACCGCGCGGAGCTATGTCGTTTTGGAACGTCATATCTCCCCCCGGAGCTATTTCCATCCGAGCGGAGGGAGTTATGTCGTTTTGGAACGTCATATCTCCCCGCGGAG